GGGGGGGAGTTCAGTTCAGAATTTTAAGAGTTTGTTGGGGGTTATATTAATGAAGCACTGATGACTTTTGTTAATTAGTGGCTTTAATTTACTGGAGGATGTGTTAATCACGTGCGTGTTAAGGGGAGGCCGGTGCGTATGAGAGGATTTTGATATGATCAGTTTCGTATCAGCATGCCGAACAAAAGACTCATGAATGTGAACTTATTTTATGTTTGGATCCTGCTATAAATATCAATACAAAGACGAACCAAAGTATCGATCAGTGGTATCATTATATCAACAAGAAATAAGTAACAAGTCAAATATAAGCAAGAGGTGAGTTGCAATGACACGTAGTACGCCTCAAAAGATCACGCGTCAACCGTTCAATCTGCAGGCGATCAGTCACAAGGGGGGCACCGACTTGGTCAGGATTTGACGCCGGCTTAAATCCCTTCAACATCCACTATAAAACCCTGCAAAAACAACAAATATGAAAATGGCTATTTGATATCCCAGCGCTTCTGCTGTTAATGTTATTGGGCAACCAACAAGAACCATGGCGGTTATCTTGATTTTACGTATCCCAAATAGGCCTATAAAGAGGCGTTAATTATCATCTTAAGAAGTAGACAGCATAATTGGAGAGGTTCAGTTAAAAGCAAAATAGCCTTCAATATTCATATGGATGTTCTCGGTATTCGTTCTTGTACATTACAAGAATGAAAAAGCCACCCATATTAAGAAAAAAAAATTCAAGAAACTGTGAAATTCGGCCTCAACGAAATTATTAGCCAATGGATCTGTAGGCGTCAAAAATTGCTTATGAGTTACCACACACGGCTCAAGACGAAGAAAAGACGATAAACGTGCAATTTCCGATACAATGAATGCACAAAAATGCAAAACGACGGGGGAAGCGTGCAATTTCCGAGGTCAAGAAAGTGTCTAGGAAACTACAAGGTTGCTCATAGTTTCTGAGACACAGAAAGTGTCTCGGAAGCTATGAGGCAATTCTTAGTTTCCGAGGTCAAGAAAGTGTCTAGGAAACGACGGGGGAAGCTGGCAAAACCCCTTCTTCCGAGACCCGTGAGAAATATGGGACTGTCAAGTGAGCTTTGTTTTGATTTCCTACCTTCAGTAACTGCTCCTAGGGACTATAAATGCTTCCCTATCATCCATACACACATGGACCGAGGCAGAGAGGGCAGAAAAGGCAGAGACTGAAGCAACTTGGTGAATTTTGAGCAAGAGAGAGAGTCTTCATCAATTTCAAGCACTTCTAAGAGCCTTCAGTGTTTCCTCGAGATCTAAACTTTGACTTGATCTTGAGAAGAGCGTTTTATCTAACCTTGTTGAGATATTCAATTCTGTCCTTATTTCTAAAACGAAACATCGACCCTAAGCCTTCTTCATGATTCAACTTGGATCTGGGATTCGGTCGTCCGCAGGCTAACGCACCCCTGGCACAGGAAAAAATCACACACAAGCAGCGGGTGATAAATGTCATCTGTGTGTGTTTCTAGGGAGTACTCTTAATCTTGTTTTATTGTAAAGAGAAGTTTTACAAAGCACGAAGCTCGCTCTTTTGTTTCCATTGTAATCGATAAACGTTTGTAATGAATTCTGCAATAAATTTGTTCCCGATGCAAACAGGATCGAAATGATTAAAGCAAAAAATAGTGTTTTTTACTTATGAAATCATAAAGTATGGATCCTGCAAAATTATTCACCAATGATTTGAAACGTAAAAAATATCTAATAATCATGGGCTATAGCTAATAAAATCGTGAATTTTGACCTATAAGAAATTATTAGCCAATGAGTCAAAACAAATAAAAATGCCCGAAAATCATGGGCTCTAGCTCGTGAAATCATGAAGTTTGACCTCCATGAAATTATTAGTCAATGATGTTGAGCGCTGCGGAAGTCAAACAACCAAACCAACGTGCTACGAGAAATCAAATCAAACGAACGTCGAGAGAAGGCCAAACGAACCAAATCAATGCCACAAACACAAACAACCAATTTTAACGTGGTTCGGCAAGTTGCTTACGTCCACGGGGCAAGAAGGGGATAGGGTTTTTTACTAATAGAGAAGAAGAGTATAAACTAAGATTACAAATCACTCAAACTCACCAATAGCTCAAAAAATACCTCTTTTCTGTGCTCCAAATATCCCCAATTTTCTTCTCTATTCTCTCTTCCAATTGTTCAATATATTACTAAGGGTTTGGAAATATTAAAAATCGTTGATTACAGATCACAAAGTCATGAATTTTCAAAATCGTTGATTTGGAGAAAAATGATCAAAAAACATGAATTTTGACGAAAAATCGTTGATTACAGCTCACAAAGTCATGAATTTTGGTCTTTGCAAAATTATTTGCTAATAGGCCGAAACAACTAAAATTGATCAAAAAACATAGGTTATAGTTCATGAAATAGTATATTTTGGCGTCCATAAAAATTTGTCAATGATTTAAAACGACAAAAAATAGTCAAAAATCATAGATTATAGCTCATTAAATTGTAAAGTTTGGACCTCGCAAAATTGTTCAACAATAGTATGAATTGACTAAAAATATCTTATAATCATTAATTATAGATCACGAAATCATGACATTTGGACTTTAGAAAATTACTAATCACTGGGTTAAAATGACTAAAAATAATCAAAAATTATGGGTTATAGCTTACAAAATCATGAATTTTGGTCTCTATGAAATTATTTGCCAATGGGATGTAATGACTAGAAATGAAAAAAAATTATTGGTTATTGCTCATGAAATCGTAAAGTTTAGGCTTCGCAGAATTACTTTCCAAGGGTTCAAAAATGGCCAATAATCGTTGGTTATAGCTAATAAAATCATGAATTCTGGCTATCCACAAAATTATTTTTTAATAGGTCGAAACAACTAAAAATGATTAAAAATCATGAGTTATAGCTCACAAAATCGTGAGTGTTGGTCATCAACGAATGGGTTGAGATGACTAGAAATGACCGAAAATCATGAATTATAGCTCATTAAATTGTGAATGTTGGCCATTACAAAATTATTTAACATGTCGAAACGACTAAAAATTGCCGTAATCATGGGTAACTACCCATGAAACATTGAACTTTGGCCTCCACGATATTATTTTCTAATGAGACAAAATGACAAAAAACCGTCAAATTTTTTGGACTATAGTTCATGAAATTATGAATTTTGACATTTGCGAAATTAGTTGCTAATAGGTCGAAACAACTTAAGAAGGCAAATAATTATAGAGTTATAGCTCACGAAATCATGAAATTTTTCCTCCATGAAATTATTTACCAATTGTTCAAAATGGCTAAAACTGCCCAATAAGTGTATGTTATAGCTTATAAAATTGTGAATTTTTGGCATTCGCGAAATTATTTACCAATAGGTTGAAACGATTAAAATGACTAATAATCAAGAGTTGTAGCTCATGAAATCATGAATTTTGGACATCACAAAGTTATTTGATAATGGTCAAAATGACTATAAGCCAAAACCTATGAGTTATAACTTACAAAATCGTGGCCTCTGTGAAATTACTTGACACTAGATCAAGACGATTAAAAATGACCAAAAATCATGAGTTATAGCTCTTGAAAGCTTGAATTTTTGCCTTAGTGAAACTGTATTCCAATGAGTAAAAGCAATTAAAATGGTCAACATCATGAGTTATAGCTCACGAAATCATGAATTTTAGCCTACGTAAAATTATTTATTTTAAATAGATCAAAACCACTAAAAATGACCAAAAATCATTGGTTATATCTCACAAAATCGAGAATGTTAACCACATGAAATTATTTGACAATGTGTCAAAATGAATAAAAATTTCTAAAATTTGTGGGTAACAACTCACAAAATCTTAAATTTTAGTTTCCGCAATATTATCTATCAACAATGAGAAATGACTAAAAATGACAAAAATCATAGATTATTGTTGTAAAGTAATGAATTTTTCCCTTTGCGATATTATTCGTCAATAGATTTAAATGGCTAAAATTGGCCAAAAGTCATGGGATTATATAGCTCACTAAATCCTAAATTCTTGCCTCGACGAAATTATTTGCCAACGAGTCAAAATGATTAAAAATAGCTAAAAATCATTGGTTATAGCTTATGAAATCATAAATTTGAGGCTCCATGAAATTATTTAGTAATGGGTCAAAACGAATAAAATTGTTAAAAAAGATCTTGAGTTATAATTCACGAAATCATGAACTTTAGCCTCTGCAATATTATTTATCAATGGAACAAAATGACTAAATTGTTAAAATTATGGATTATAGATGATGAACTTGTGGCATCTACAAAATTATTTTCTAATAGGTTGAAATGACTAAAAAGTGAAAAAATCATGTGTTAGTGCTCAGGAAATCGCGAAGTCTAGACTATACAAAATTATTTACCAAGGCTTGAAAGGGACTAAAAATGTCCAATAATCGTGGGTTATACCTTTTAAAATCGTAAATTTTAGCCTCTGCGAAATTGTTTATCTATGGATTGAAATGATTGTGGCTAAAAATCGTGGCTCGTAGTTCACAAAATGTGAATTTAGGCCACCATGAAATTATTTGATAACGGGTCAAAATTACTAAAAAAGTCCAAAAATCGTATGTAACAACTCTTAAAATTTTATCCTCCATGAAATTAAGTGGTAAACGATCAAAACAACTGAAAATTGCCAAAATCATGGATTATAGTTGATTAAATTGTGAAGTTTGTCCTCATCAAAATCATGGGTTATTGCCCATGAAATAGTGCAGGTTGGAATAAGCAAAATTGCTTATCAAGGGTTTGAAATGACTAAAGACGTCCAATAAACATGGTCTATAACTCAATAAATCATGAATTTTGGCCTCCGTAAACTTATTTACCAATGGTATGAAATGACTAAAAATGTTTAATAATCATGGTTGTATCTCGTGAAATCATGAATTTTGGTCTCCACAAAATTATTTGTCAATGGGGTAAAACGACTAAAAATAAAAAAAAAATCATGGGTTATAGCTCACTAAATCGTCAATAATTAACTTCTGTTAAATTATTTGCTAATGGATCAAAATAAAAAAATTGCCAAAAATTATGGGTTATAGCTCAGGAAATTGTGATGTATTTCGTTTGCAAAATTATTCGCCAAAGGGTCAAAATGACAAAAACTGGGGAAAAATTCATGGATTATTGCCTATAAAATCGTAAAGTTTTGACTTCACAAAATTATTTACGAAGGCTTCGAAGTGACTAAAAATGTCCAATAATCGTGAGTTATGGCTTTTGAAATCATAAATTTTAGCCTTTGCTAAATTGTTTACCGACTGGTCAAAATGACTAAAGTGGCCAAAATCGTGGCTTATAGTTCACAAAATTATGAATTTTGGCCACCATAAAATTATTTGATAACGAATCAAAATCACAATAAAAATTCTAAAAATCATATGGCTGACGAAAACATGACATCAAGAATTTTGGCCTCTATGAAATTATTTGGCAATGGGTTAAAACAACCGAAAATGGTCAAAAATCATTTATTACAGCTCATGAAATCATGAATTTTTTTTGTCTTATGCAAAATTATTTGCTAATAGGTCGAAAAGAATAGGAAAAATTATGGGTATTTCTCATGAAATAGTGCAGTTTGGACTCTACAAAGTAAGTTCTCAAGGGTTTGAAACGACTAAAGATGTCCAATAAACATAAGTTATAGCTCAAGAAATCCTAAATTTTGGCTTCTGTGGAATTATTTACCACTGATTTGAAATGAGTAAAAATGTGTGATAATCATGGGTTATAACTCATGAAATCATGAACTTTTCTCTCCATGAAATTAATTGGCCATGGTTAAGTCGACTAAAATGGACAAAAATCGTAGGTTATAGTTTACAAAATCGTGAATTTTGTCATCACAAAACTATTTGATCAGAGTCGAACTGACTTAAAAAGGCCAGAAATCGTGGGTAACAACTCATGACATCATAATTTTTGAATTCTACAAAATTATTCGGTCACGAGTCAAAACAGTTAAAGATGGTAAAATTTGTGTTATACCTCATGAGATCGTGAATTTTTTGGCATCTGCAAAATTATTTGACTAATCAAGACGACAAAAAATGGCCAAAAATCTTGGGTTATAGCACATAAAATCGTGAATTTTGCCCTCCGCAAAATTATTTGCCAACATATCAAAACAACTATAAAGACCAAATGTCATGGACTATAGTTTAGAAAATCATAAATTTTGGCATCCGCGAAATTATTTGTCAATGGATTGAAACAAAAAAAAGATAAAATATTGTAGGTTGTAGATCATGAAATCATGAAGTTTGAACTCTGCAAACAATTTATTAATGGTTTGAGATGATAAAAATGTCTAACAATTGTAGGAGCTTATGAAATCGTTAATTTTGACCTTCGCAAAATTATTTGCTAATGGGTCGAAACGTTTAAAAATAGGGAAAAAGGTTATGGGCTAGAGCTCATGAAATCGTAATTTTAGCCAGCACAAAGTAAATTACTAATGAGCCAAAATGACTATAAGTACCAAAAATTATAGGTAATAGTTCATGGAATCATGAACTTTGGCAATAGGTCAAAATGACTAAAAATGGCCAAAAATCGTATAATATAGCCTCATGAAGTTTAGTCTCC